CTGCTGCTACTGCTGCGGCTGCTGCTACTGCTACTGCTGCTGCTGCTGCTACCACTACGACTACGACGGCAACTACTGCTGCTGTTACCACCACTACCACCCACATCTGGCGAGAATACGAACATCGCGCAAGTCAGCATAAAGCGTGGCCGTCGGCACCGTCGCCGACGAGCAGCTCGGTTTTCTGATTACCTCAGGTTGAGAGATTTCCACAAGCGTTCTGCATGTATGCGACACACAGGACCATAGGGGTAAAACATGGTAAACCTCTAAATTCTACACATGCCGGATGCAGATACGACGTGGCGAGACACAACTTGAAGCGGCCATTGCGGCACAAGTGCTGACGGCAACGGCCACGTCAGGCATGTATTTCTTTGCGGCCTCCACCACATCGCCGTCAATTTCGCACCAAGTCACCTGTCTTTATAAGAGCTGTATCATATTAGGCAGCACTGACATTCTGGGTTTCAGAGCTCATCAAGCAACAGCTCTTGGAGAGGCTGTACTCTTCTATGGCTACCTGGGCATGAACGTGGGCTTTACATGGGAGTTTCCGAAAATAGGGGACCCTAATATAGTACCCTAAATGATAGGATCCCTATTATAAGGACCTCAAAATAAGGTACCCCAATTTCCGAAACTCCCACATGATGCTTCTTGAAGCAAACCATTAGATCCACAGTCATGACATAGCCTTCTCCACAGTGTCATGCTTCACCACTTCGCGAAGGACACCTCCATCCCCACCTCCAATGATGAGAACCTGCAGGGACGTTCGGAGGGCTTGCAACTTGGCGGTGCTTTTGCTGTTTTGGGTTGTTTATAGTTTGTACGATTCAATCATGGATGCGGGTGGGGTCGGGGGGCTCGGGCGCACATGCGTAGGCTTGTCCGCGGAGAACATGGGCAGGTGCGCCAGCATCTCCTGATATGACATTTCCTTAGACTGCTGCATTCCGAGGTTGCAACTCCATGCGACGAGAACTGCCGTGGATGAATGTTGAGGATACCAGTGGATTCAAAGGTGATAGTCGTAACGATACACCTGGAGAGTTGCCAAAGCGACAGTACAAAGCTGTACTGAATGATGAAGAGAATACGACTGAGCACGTTTGCTGGCAAGCCTGCTCGACAAGCCGAAAACTTAGCAGCCAAGATGCATCGCGCTCTGTGATTTGTATAACTCCATCCTGACATGCTTTGCGCAGCGGATCCATGGAGATGAAGGAACTTTCTCACAACAGACAGCCGGCCAGTACGATCACGTTTCCGTGCTTCGCAGATGCCTCGTGTTCGGCCGCGGAGAGCGAGCAGAAGAGTCCAAGTAATTCGGATGCAGCTCTGTACATTGCGTGTAAAGCTTGAGAACATGGTGCCGCTAAAGAACGAACACCAGCAGATCTTGGAATTTGGTCTTCTTGTGCAGAAGTACCTCTTTCACCTGGTGCAGAGACTTGGGACACAAAAACCAACAAAAAGGCAGAGAGGAGAGGAAGCAACAGAACGGCCAGAAGATGGCCTCCAGTGCGTTGGCTTGACCGGGCCTGCAACACTGTGGAGGAGGCTTCTGACATCATGTGTCATGAACAAGCAGACTCGGGGGCCCACCACTGAGCATTCTTCTCGATGAACCACCCGTTCTCAATCAGGCTCACCTCGGCGTACATTCAGATTCGCAAAGAACTGACACAGGCCACTTCGACAGATGCACGGTCCGGGCCGGACTTCGAGACACTGCGACTACGTGCAGGGTTTAGGGTCTATAGGGTTTAGGGGGTGAATGTGGCATCAAGGCACCATCATTCGTGTCAAGGGCCGACTGAGACATGTACACCCTGCAGCGGCGCTGACTCAGCCATGGCTCAAGGACCACCTCTCGGTGCTGTGCCTCTGTTGAGCTGTCACTGAAGACAGCGTCGTGTAGCTTCTCTATCACGAGCTGTAAAATGCGTGGAGCCTTTCATAGAAGATGCTCTGATCGACATTGCCAGGGATCCACCACATCCTAAACCCCAAGCCCGGAACGGTTCCGGGTTCCCTATAGGCCTTTGCATCTAGTGTCCAAGGGGGCTTCCGTGAGCAGCAAGCCAAAAGGTCACACACATTCAAGCCGGATCGACTTTAGGTCTTTGTGCTTGGGCCTAGGTTTCGGGCCTGAGTGGCTTAGAATAGTGTAAGGTTTAGGGTTCGGGGTTTGGTGTAATAGGAAGGCACAGCCTGAAACGTCCCAATCAAATCGTCTGGTAACTATGCCACTCATTATCTTTCGGAATCCGGATCCTCTGCTCATCTCTGCTCCCACCGAGGCACCCGAATGCGGATACAGCAGAGCATCGAACCTTTAATTACTCAACACGCGAGTCAGCACTTATCTGCAGAAGCACTGTCCAACGGCACCTTTTCTACGGTTAAAGCGATTTCTGCGTCCTGCAGCCTTACCATCAGGAGGCGCTGATTCCGCAGCTTCGGAAGTTGGTGCTGCTGTCGTGGATGTTGTCGCTGCCACTGGTTCCACAGGCTCCGCCTTTACAGAACACAAGTTGAGTAACAACGCGGGCAGGGTCTGTGCCCACGTCCTACAGCTCAAAGCGTAATGCATAATCAGCCGTGACTATAGAGCAGAATCATACAGAATCTACAGCTGTTGCTGGCTGAGCTTGATCGAGGACAGGGCAGCCTTCTCTGGAGTGAGCTTCTGGGAGTTGTCACCGTCAGCCTGATCAGCATGACCGGACAGATCATACATGAATATATGATGTAACATACCAAACAGAAGAATACTTATAAAAAGTCAATGTGTATATATATATATATCATACATATGCCTGTATGTGGAAGCATATATGTACAACTAGATTTTATGAACAAATAAGGTAATTTCACACATATATGGATACTCACACATACATGTCATGCATGGTGTGTACAACTACATAAATGAATAACTACGTATGTATATATATATATACACATGCATGCATATGTATATATATATATACATGCATACGTACTTAAATATATATATATATATGTGCATACATGTTGGCTGATATTGCTGTGATTTGTGTGGTGTTTCACAGTACATACAGGTCGAACATGCATCTCATACACATGGTCAGCCGCCAAGGCCCCGACATGTCTCTGCCCGGCAGCAACTGCCTTCCGGGGCTCTCCCTTCTCAGACTCAGGCTTCTTCCCTAAGCAGGAAGACAGTGCCCAACCCTCAGCCAGGTGCTCGCGCTGCTTGCAACATGCATCGATCTGTCGAAGCTCTGCAGCCTTGAGCTTCTGCAGCATCTGCATGGCCTGCTGGCGAAAGCCGGGGTGCCCCAGACAACGGCCACTCCGTGATGCTCTTGTAGGTGCCTCCTCGTGATTCTCGTAGCTGTCGGCGATCAAGTCCATCAGAGTGGACACCTTACGAAACAGCAGGATACGTAGCGAGAGATCGATAGATATAGTAGGATGTAGGCAATAGTTGTAGATAAAGATATAGGCCTACATACGGAAGTCGAAGCAGCTACTACCGAAGCTGTAGCTATAGCTATAGATGTAGACATAAACATAGATAAGAACACAGACATATAGATAAAGAAAGAGGTAGATAGATAATTAGGCAGACAGATAGATAGAGAGGGAAGTAGGTATAGGAGGGCAGGCATGCAGGTAGGTAAGTAGGCAAGTAGATCGCTAGATAGAAACACAGAGATTGATGGAGACGGATAGATATGACTGCAGAACCAGTCCTGGGGGTATATAGACTATGTCGTTTTATGTCGTTTGTGTATGTGTATATATATATATATACATATGCAGAGATACTGTGCAGCAAAGCAAGTACGGAGTGCATAGTCAGATATGTGCGCATGCTGGAAGCCAGCTTCTGCTGGAGCCTCGAGTTGAATCGAAATCTCGGGGTCGAGCACCGTCCTTGAACTCTGCGTACTTCTCTTTGCCCATCTTCAGCCGCTGTTGAACGTCATGCCTTCGTTGTCTCAGGGTTGAGGGTCTTGTGCCCCCTATAATCTACATGTCCGTGATTCCGTGATGATCAGAAACGAGCGCTAAGCAGCATGCAGCAAGCTTCCCCGATCATGCGCCATGAACAAATCTCCGATAGCCTCAGGGACGCAGACGGAACAACTTCTGGCGATGGCCGTATCAACCGAGGGCTTTGCCACGTTGGAATGCTGCTTTCCACCAGGAAGCCTGACCTTGAGGTAGGCGTGCGACTTTTGCGACCTCAGGGTTTAAGGTTTAGGGTTCAGGAGCAGCCAGAGATCCAACAAGGACGAATGAGGCCGGTTGAAACGAACTTAATATATCGAAGCCTCTGGGACAAGCTGCTGATAGAACCAATCATCCTCTAGTCCCACCTGCATGCCACAAGCACGCACCCAAAGCCCCCTGAATCCTCAAGGCTTTGAACCTCTTTCAAGGTGCCGAAGCCCGCAAAGCAAAGGGCGAAGCCCAGCGGTGCTGAGGCTCAGACAGAATGTTATGCATCTCACGAGCAACTCCCGGCTTGATACCATCAGGACCACCAAGGAGTAGAATCACTGACTCGATGTCCTGACGCTTTAGGGTTTAGGGTTTAGGAGGTTTAAGGGTTGCAGGTTCGGTCGATGCTCCACACGAGTGATCTGACACACCTGCTCGGCCGACGAAGGCTTCGGGTGGTTCAAGAGCTCATCTCCCGAGCCATCCAAATGCATTACCACGCACCTGAGCTGGTTCTGCCTAAACTTGCTCACAGCTCACAGCATCGAGTACCTTGAACACCGAAAGACGAGCCAAGCACAAGAAAACAAGACACAGTTTCGGTTGCTCTATAGCCTCAAAGCTACATTCCCGTTGCAGTATCCCTCATGTCATAACCCTACGCCAACACCCCTAAACCCTAAACCCTAAACCCTCCAACGCAAACTTTGAAGGAAGCTCTCCAAGCGCCAGGCTTCCTGCCGTTCTTCTGTGCCCGTGACTTCAGGACACCAGCCCGCCACCATAGCCAGTTCTGCCAGGTCACTTCATAGCCTGTCGGCTTGCGGGCTTCATCGGGCTTCTATATAATAGGTTTAGGGTTTAGGGTATAGGGTTTTAGGGTTTAGGGTTTTATAGTGTACTATAAGAGACTATAAGACTGTATAGGTTTTACACGGGGTTTGGGGGGCTGACATCTTGGACAAAGCATCTTTACGCCGACACAAGGCTGTTCGTCGTACAGATAGCCGGATACCAACCAAGACATGCCATCTGCGTACACGAAGACACCTCTTGACCTACTTGCCATGCTTGCCATGCCAATTATGCTCGTATACATGTCTGACCACAGATGTCACGGACATGACGCATGTACCGCAAAACTTGTCTCGACTGAAGGTGTGCCGAAACAATATGTAAACCAGTAATTATGCGCACCTGTGTTTGCGAGTGGGGGTGGGGGTGGGGGTGGTGGTGGGGGGGATGTAACGACGTGTACATCTGTTTCAAGAAGGTGTAAACTGTGCCAACATGCAGACAAATACATGCATGTGGACGCACAACTATAAGACTGTATCCGGTGGTCTGACGAAGTATGTACTTCTCATCTTTGGCCGGTATACCGGATGTATAGCAGACTCACTATCCTGCGAAACCAGGTGCGCCCGGCCTAAATTTTGCACAGATACCTCAGCTGGTCTCACGCACCCAAACTTGGAACGGCTGCGCTTCTTCAGGACAGATCTCAGCTCCGCACGCCAGGCTCAAGCTTCTGTGGGGTGCCTGTCAGTAATGTAGGGGCCTTAGTAACTTGGGGCGGGGCCATTATGCTATAATAATAATAATAAGGAGCCATAGGGTTTTGGGGCCATTATACTATAATTATCTTTAGGAACCCCCAAAATGGTAGAGGTAATTATTTAGGCCCCTACATTAACAGCGGGGAAGTGCCCGACTCTTGCAATCCATCCCAAACCCTTAAGGACTCTCGCCCCCAACGCATTGCGATTCGTTCACTGACTCTGGCGAAACATGTCCGTACAACTCGAATTTGATTAAAATAGAAGCAACCTCTTCAAATAGGTGCAGTCATGCATAATCACGACATGAAGCAAGAAGTGTCGCAACAAGAAGCGCTGTGCCGACACCAAAACCCTGAACCCTAAGCCCTATAAGCCCGAAAACCTCAGGCCAAACTCAAAAGCCAAATGTAGGGGCCTTAATAAATAGAATATTTATAAGTATAGTATAATATACCCCAAACCCTATTCTAATCATTACGGCCCCTATATTAAACCGCAGGGCCTTGGTATATGGACATGGCTGTGCCGAGAACCACATTCTCTGTCAGGGCCTGTCAAAACCAGAAATCGGGGGTCTGGTCGGGTTTCCGTAAGAGGATACCAGGAAGGGTTCCACGTGTTTCTGTACGGATATATCAAAGGGGTTGGTATGAGGACCACTATATCATGGGTTACGATAGGGTTTCCAGAAAGGTTTCTATACAGGTTGATGTAAGGTTGCATGGGATTGACGGTGGCTTCAGGGTTTGAGGGGGTGTGGGGCTTAGCTATTGATTGGACGAGGCTCAGCAGCCATATGGATGAGGCCAACCGACTGACATCCAGAAGTTTACCATTCTGTATCATCTAGACTGCGGTCAAGATTTGTGATCAACAGCCTTGGTCCCCTTCTTGGACAGGTATGCCGCGAACTTTGGCAGGTTGTAGGATACGATTGTCCCTGACATCTTCCACAAACCCTCAGCTCTATGACTGTCCCGAAGCGCGGGGTTATCCACTCGGCCATAATTCCTGCAGCCTGGTTTGTAGGTTCGTGCCGTTACACAGCACACACTTTCTTAACCGTAGTGGGTGAACACTGCTTCCCGGAATTACAGACTCCTGGTCGGAGGAACCTCATACATCAGGACAAGTAAAACGACAACTATATGTCTACAGGGATACTTCCTTCAAGCATACTGACAGTGTTCAGGGTTTCAGGGTCCTGTCTGTGAGGTCTGGGGAGTTGGGTACCGTCAGCTTTCAGGACTTCAAGTCGTCTCAGGTTTAAGTAGCGCCTGTGGGCCGGATGACCTGGCAGTCAAGTTGGAGTGAACTACATGTAGTAGATCAGTCAGAGCAGCCCTTCTAGTACGTACCATTTTAACACCCTTATAGTTCCATTTTAACACCTTTATAGTACCAGCCGCACGCCTGTAGCACAAGTACAGTTAAAATAGGAGCCGCAACAGTTAGAATAGGGCTTTGGGGGGGTATATTATGCAAGAATCATCATAAGGAGCTCCCCCAAAGTAGAACAGGTATACTTACTTAGGCCCCTACCTTATGCCTTACACTGCAAAGGCCCCCGTCGCAGCCAGGCAGCAGGGGGAAACGCACCAGAACTCGGCGACCTCCTCGCGGAAGATCTCGCCTTCCTGCCATCTACTTGGAGTTTCATGGGTAGTTATAAGTGGAGTTAGTCCCCTAATATGGGTTATAATTATAGTTACCTACTTGCAACCCCACTTTGAACTGCCCATGAACCTCCAAGTATAGTACAACTGATCAGAATCTGGCAGAATAATTATTATAACATAGCATAAGATGGCACCATAGAGTGTAATAGAAGTATAACAGGAGTATAATAGGAGTATAACAGGAGTATCATAAACAATATGGTTTAAACGGAAAATGGTTTGCGTCATGTAGTATCATTCTTAGTACATCGGAGTAGAATCTGTAGTAAATCATCGTCTCAAACAGTATCATATGAAGCTGGGAACTGGGCTCGACTTCACCAAACATCTTGAACCAGTCACGAAACATTTTCAACATTGGCTTGGGTTGGGGTATATCTAAGGTCGCGTGCATGCAAGTCCTGCACAGACAGCAACTGCCAGCTCAAAGTGCTGAAGGCTTTCATGGCATGGACTCTTGCACTTTCCTTCCTGTCATGCTCATCACGATCAGCATGAGAGTCCTACACAAACCAAGCCCGGAAATTCCAGAGAGTGCATCCCCGCAGCCGGAGCCCATCTGAGAAACGCAACACATCTTGTGAATCCTACGACCCTTTACTTCACAGATCCTCAGGACAGACCTCGGATGTCAAATATGTGTCAATGCGCTGTGAAGATGTGTTGTAGAACGCATTCCTACCAAAAGACTATCGGTTCTTATCTAGCAAATATCGCTTAGATACGGATGGATAGTGGGGAAACCTCATCAAAAGTAAGGCCGACTCCTTAGATGAGCGATACGGAACTCGCCTTGGTGCACGACCGGAGACATGCCTGCTGTCTCTTTCGGGTTTAGGACTTTGGGTGTGGAGGTTCTTTGGCGTAGAGATCGGGTGCTTAGAACATGGGGTCAACCAACTTCGGGTTCCAAATTGTGTTTGTTCATACTGAAAAGAACATGCTTCGGGTAGTTTTGCTCATGAACGATTTCTCATGCTCCTACTGAGCTGCGGAGCCACAGCCCTGCTACCATTACTGACATTGCTATACCAATTGCTGATGTGCATCATTACCGCCATCATCCCAGTAGGTCCAGCTTGAATCCGGCTGAGGGCTGCAAACCCGAACTGCTTTTGGCAAGTGACGTTGACGTCAGCCATACACCACTAAGCACACATTACGTGTTTGTCATTGATTGTGGTCATTGTGATGTCACCGGTACATTGTGTGTAACGTACGACTAGGCCTCTGTCATGCTCATTCTTGTTTGTGAACCGCTTCCTTTCGTTCCTCCGTGCTTCATGAGGATGAATTAGTTTCTGCGTGCGCTTGTCTTTGCTACGGATTCGGGTTTAGTGGTTCGGGGCTTGCGGTCTCTGCATCGGCTTTTGACATCTAGGGTTGAAGGACTTTTCATCACTCCTACCCTGATGAAGCGATATGTTGCAGTCCAGGCTTAAACTCCACTACATCTTAAATCAGAAACTATGCCTGCACGTTGTCGAGCCGGAAGCGCCAGGGATCTCGCAGCTTCCCACAAGAACTGCCAGGGGTAGCGCACATGGCTTTTGCATGCTTTTACAACAATGCAGTCATCTCATGTGAGAACCCAATGGCAGCAATTTATTACCACTCAAACCACCCGACTGATATTGCTAGCGCCTGAAACAGCAGCAACAGCTACAACAACAACAACAACAACAACAACTACTACTACTACTACTACTACTACTACTACGACCACGACTACCACTACCACTACCACTACCACTACCACCACTACTCCTACTACTCCTACTACTACTACTACTACTACTACTACTACTACTAAAACTACTACTACTACCTACTACTACTACTACTACTACGACGACGACGACGACGACGACGACTACGACTACTACTACTTCTACTACTACTACTACTACTGCTACTACTACTACTACTTCTACCGCTGAGATCTACTACTGTTACTACGACAACAACAACAACTACTACAACTACAACTACAACTACAACTACAACTACTACTACTACTACTACTACTACTACTACTCCTACTACTCCTGCTGCTGCTGCTCCTGCTACTGCTGCTGCCGCTACTACTACTACTACTACTACTACTACTACTACTACTACTGGCGATACTGCTAGTAGCACTACTCCTGCTGCTACTACTACTGCTACTACTACTACTACTACTACTACTACTAATGCTGCTACTACTTCTACACTGCTACGGCTGCGTGTTTACGAAGGCCACCACCAATAGCGAACCGGCGAGGCGAGCACCCTCAGACTTCCACACACAGAACAACAACGATGGGAATAAACTGGAAAACATGATCAGGTCACTCTTTACTCCTCTGTATTGCCGGCGGAAAAACTGCAAGCAGGCTTCAGTGACCACTTACCTTCCTTTCAGAGAGCTTCCATAAACTTCGCCGAATGACTGCTCATGCGTTCATGTGCACACTGGCTGAAAGCCGCCGCAAAGTACATCTTCAGAAACGGCTTCCCCAACTGGTTCGATCCTGTACACTTGAATACTGAAAAAAGATTCGAAGCAATGCCCCAAGCTTCAACCCATGAGTCCACAAAATTAGTACGACACATTCTGACAAGTGAGTCCCCGAAGTCAAAACGACGAACCCGGCAGGCCGGACCCTGAAATGGCATAAACTGTGAAGCCCTCGCCTGCAGGACTTCAAGCTGCTCAAGTCGATCCCATCATGATCTTTGCCCTCCCAGTAGAAGACGTAAAACTTCGTCCTGGAGAGGGAAGGTGCAGGCCGTGGTAGCGGTACTGCTGCTGTTGCTGCTGGTCTTGCTGCTGCTGCTGCTGCTGCTGCTGCTGCTGCTGCTGCTGCTGTTGCTTTTGCTGTTGCTGCTTTTGCTGCTGTTGCTGCTGTTGCTGCTGCTGCTGCTGCTGCTGCTGCTGCTGCTGCTGCTGCTGCTGCTGCTGCTGCTGCTGCTGCTGTTGCTGTTGCTTTTGCTGTTGCTTTTGGTGTTGTTGCTGTTGTTGTTGTTGTTGTTGTGGTTGTCGTTGTCGTTGTCGTCGTTGTCGTCGTTGTCGTCGTTGTCGTCGTTGTTGTTGTTGTTGTTGTTGTTGTTGTTGTTGTTTGTCGTGCCGTAGTTGTGGTTGTCGCTGTCGCTGTCGTCGCAACGTTTCAGATGTTTTTGTTGACCATCACTGCCTTCTGGTAGATTAGGATGCTGATGATGACGACGGCGATGACGACCATGCCGCTGATGACAATGATAGTCACGGCTGCTCCTGTAGCTACTGTCGAGCTGGTCGTCGTTAGTTGTTGCTACTGTGTGCTAGCGCAGGCTGTGGTGCGGTGGCTGCCGGTGGTGGCGGTAATGCCCTGTTTGGTGGTGGCAGGCGCGGATAGCATCAGTCAGGAAGAAGGGGCAAGACTACAGTGATCATGCATGATCATGCCAGGCACGTCCTAAGCCATCGTATATCGCTCAACACTATACGCAAAAACACAAAAATACACACATCTGGCCTGGGAGGCATAGCATCATAAGGGCCCATGGATGTGGAGCTGGACCAACGAGCTTGGGGAGTTCGGTAGCAGGTAGTGATGCTGTGAGTGTCGGGGCTGTCAGCACGTCATTGGTAAGGTCTCGGCTCTTGCAGAATGACGCACAAATCGCATCTGGCTCCGAATCAAGACTGACGGCAGACATTTCTGCGCAAGGATAGGCTTTAATACGGACCCACAAATTCACGCAAGCACATATGCCAAATGAAGCTTCATGACTCGGTTTTGTTGGAGGGCTCCTAAGCCTGGAGGAGCCTTAAAACCTGGCGGCGGTATGCACAGAGCAATGACTCGAGCCACCAGCTCTGAGGTAACATGGCTAAGGCGGTGGGGATTAGTTGGGGCTTGAGGTTTCGGATGCCGGGGGTATGGGCTTCAGGGTTTGGAGAATGAGTCGAATGGGAAGAGAACATGCCCTTGCTGCAGTTCATGTTTTAAGTCTTTGGCGTGTCGATGGCTGCGCGGAACACTGGTGAGCTTTGCCACTGATGCGTCGACGCTGCCTGAAATCCTGCATCAACCGATGCTTCTTAGTCTTGGAAGCTTGTAGTCTGCAACCCAAAACCCTAAACCCTATGCATAGTCTGCTGGTGGGTGCAGGATTCAGAACGTCAACAATAGGGGGAGCATCTCTGGACTCACTTCAGCTCAGATGGACTTCGATCCTATCCGATGCGCATGCGCCAAAAAACACCTGAAGTGGGTTCCAGCAGGCTGTCCGTGTTCAAATTACACGGGCTCGCAAGCTCTGAGCCTTGCGAGCTAAGCATCTCGCCAGTCCTGTTTCCTGCGTGCCAGAAATTAGCAGAGACTGGCGCGATGACACAACGGGGACTTCTGCCACCAGATTCCCCAGATTTTTGCTTTGGCAAAACTAGTGGCTGCCATCCGTCCACCTATCCGGCATATCTTGCAACGCTCTTGCAATGCTGCCTGGACAGAGACAAGGACCCGAAAGCTGGGAAGGCTTCGGCCTAGCATGGCTGCCCTCGATAATATTGGCGCTTGCGCGGAAGCAACCGTGTGAGACAGTGAGGACGAACTTTGCCTCAAAGAGGGGCCATAGTGCGTCTTCAATACCTTAGAAGTAGATCGGACAAATAACTACTACACCCTCTCCCCAACGAAATCCTGAACACTTCCTGCTTCCAGCTGTTTGACGCAAATCGTAGGTGCCCGGCGGCGAGAAACCTGGGAGATAAACAGAAGTGTCAACAGCTGGCATGAAGCTGAGGTTCGGAGACTTTCTTTGCACAGGCTTACTATTGTATACATTCGTACAATGGTTCGTAATAAAATTCGCACTACTACTAACTACTGCTACTACTACTACTA